GTGGCTGACTAAATACTTTTTTGCCCCACTGTATGTGATGAGAGATGATCTGTTGTTATATTTTATTTAACCGAACTGTGTAACCCCTTCATGCTGTTTGAAGTAACCCTTTTGTTTTATTTAATCTGTGACTGTATATCTCAGAATTACTTTTTTTTTTAACTTCCCTGAATTAACTTAAGCTCATTGTTGTTATTGCTCATTGTTATTAGTTCAAAAAGTACTGTATGGGTATCAATTTTTTCTTATTTTATAGTTTTCACGGTGCTCAACGTACAGAGAATGAGCCGTGTGTGGAGAGGAAATAAATGGCTGCACCCGTTAGAGACTCTTCTGTCGTTCTTGATGCCAAGGGCTGCTACATGCGTACCAAACCGAAAGCACTGTATCGAACGGTTCAATATCGATACGAGTATTGTTGCACCCCTAATAGATGGATAGATAGATATATATATAGATATATTTTCTAAGGTATGCTGCATTTACTGCTGCCCTGTATACTTTGCTACTGTAAAAATATGAACTTCCCTCCATCTAGTTTTTTCCTGCTCACTGCTTACCACCAGATCACTGCACAAAAGGTCAGACATCTTGGTTTGCCTACTTCATCTCACGCCTTGACACTCCCGTGGTTGCTTCCCCCTCAGAGAGTACTACCCCCTGCTTTCTCAGTAAGCATTATCTCTAGTAAATACTCAGCTCACTTCAAATTTAATACTCACTCCCTTCCTGATTCCTGAGTCAATAAAGCCTTGTATTCTTGTGAAAACTACTGTCTGCCTTTGGATCCACACCACACCACGCACCAGTCTCTCAGCCTTCTGACAGGTTGTGCACTCAATAAGCTCCAACTGTGAAAATCTGTCATCAATAGAAGATACCCACCTCTAAAAATAGCCAGTATATAGCAGGGGCCAGTATCTGTAGAACAAGTTGTCTGCCACTCAGAACATCAGTGGACTGATCCCCGACTCCTCTATGTGTGGAAGTATCCTTGGGCAAGAGCCCCGAGATTTCCCTGATGCATCTGTGGGGATGTGCATGTGAATTTTACATAACAAGTAGTCAAAGTTTATGACTATGACTCTTTGACTTATGCTGTATGATTAGGTAAATGCGACTTACACACCTGGCGAAGATCAAGGACAAAACTCAAGTATCTAGTCACTAATGTACAGCTGTTCAGCTCTTTTTCTAAAAGTTTGCTTTCACCAGACTGTAAGCATAGTAATCACCCAAAAGAATATCTCTCTCTTCTCTCTCTCTTGCTATATATATCTGTATATAGAGATATATCCAAAACACTGCTTAATTACTTTTTGTTTTGTTCAATGTAAAAAAGTTGCTGTCTGGTTGACAAATTGCAACAAAGGCAAAAGTATATTCATGGTAAATGGACTGGTTCTTATATAGCGCCTTTCTACTATAACTGAGCACTCAAATTGCTTCATACAGCTTGTGCTTTACACATCCAATCATTCACACACCGGTGATGGCAGCTACATCGTAGCCACAGCCACCCTGGGGCGCACTGACAGAGGCGAGGCTGACTGACAGAGGCGAGGCTGCCGGACACTGGCACCACCAGTAGGCAACAGGTGAAGTGTCTTGCCCAAGGAGACAACAACTGAGACTGTCCAAGCCGGGGCTCGAACCGGCAACCTTCCGATTACAAGACGAACTCCCAACTCTTGAGCCACGATCGCACTTTGGCTCTCGCACTTTTTTCTTTGCTCTTTCCAGGTAAGTGCTTTTTATCATTCATCTAACATTCACACACATTCATACTCCAGGCTTTGAGGTCAATGTATTTTTTTCTGATGACATTTTCACTTATTTTAAATATGAATTACACTGTGATATGGTCTCGTTCTAACGTAGCACCTCCCTACTCTATCTAAGCACTCAAACTGCTTTAAACAACATCTCTCATTCACCCGTTCAAAGAAGCACTTTTTTCTATGCTGAAGTGCTTTCTATCTAACGTTCACATTTATACTCTGATGGATACAGAAAGCAACTTAGTATCTTGCACAAACATATTTGGCAGGCAGACTAGAACAGGGATCGAAACATAAACCTTCTAATTAGTAGGTGGCCCGCTCTATCTCGTTGGCTAGGATTGCATATTATTGCCTGTATGAGTCCTCATTTGTAAGTGTAACAAAACCTGTTTCATTCTCACCATTGGGTGAGATGTGGGCCTCGCCTCTCACCCTATGGTAGCTAGGATGGGTTCCAGGTTCAACAGTAAGCGCAGTCATTAAGTAAGGTGTGTCAATGTCGGAAAAAATGTGTGTCATTCCTCTAGCCTTTGCATCCCTCCTTCTCTTTCACCTCTGTCTGGTGGCCTCCCTCTTTTCTCTTCTGTGCTTTGCTACCCAGCCTTCTTCTGTCTCTTCCTTCATTATGCCTCATTATTATCCTGATGAAGAGTAAGTAAGGCCATTCTTCCCTTCCATCCATCTCTCTGTCCCTCCTTTCTTTCCAGTTAAATAAACATATGGGTGGCTCTGCCTTCCTGAACCTGCTCACCTCTGCTTTCTTGCCCTCCCTCCTCATGTTTTTCTGGCTCATTAGTATGCAAAAGAAACAATAATATTCCTTGATGTGCCTCCCACATCCTCCTGCTCACTACTGAGCATTTTGTTCACCCTTTCCCTTCTGCTCTTTACTTTTTCTTCCACTGTAAACGAAGTCCATAATGTAATAACCAATACCAAAATTTAATTTCTCTGAGGCCATGTGGGAATAAAGAGTTAATGAGATCAGATAACAGATGTTGTTTCCAGTGGTTGTTTTTGCCCAGTCCATAGGGATTGTCTTTATTTTGCCTTTTTCAAAATTACACTACTCTTGTCGGACTTTATTTCACTTTTGAATTAAGGAGCAAAATGAAAAGAGGTTTCACAAATCATTAAAATCATATCAGTAAATAGAATTAGTACAAAATTGGTGATGTTGCATAGTTCAGTTTACTAATGTAAACTTGAAGTGGTGTTGCATAGATAAATGACAGAGATGTAACCTGAGCCAACTGATCTTTAGGTCTTTATAACTCGTTAATTTCCGGTGTCAGAGCCAGACCTGAGCCATAGTCACAGACTGTATTAAAAATGGCCACTATGACATTGCATAGTAGTCTGTAGATGATTGTATTCAAGTCTCAGGTTTGGCAAAATGTGGCAATATTTACAATATTTATTCATATATTTATGATGAGATGGCTGAGCTTTGGTTTTATCAGTAAATACTAGTTTAGAGTATTGTGTCCATCCATACATCCATAAATTGTGTCATAAAACGTGATGCTGACTTTAGCTAAAAAAAGAACAAGCTTAAAACAAAAGCTGTTTACTGAAGTAACTAAACAGACAAGAGTATATTTTAGTAAATTAACTAGTTATCAAGATGGACTGTCAAATAACCTGTTTTGTGTGTGTGCGTGTGTTTATGTTGCTGTAGACTGTATATTTAAAACAAGTCATTGTAATGAACTTGTTTTATAAATGCAGTCTGAATGTTTGTTTTATTTAAATAAAGGTTGAAAACTGAACAGAGGGTGAACATACTGACCAGGTGATTATATGTCAGGGTTGTGTTTTTGTATCTGCTGCCCCCGAGTGGCCAAATTAAGTTGGGTCAAATAAAATGACTGTCAACCAATGAAACGTCAACAATTATCAGCTTGTTTACTGGGCATTTGACAGCTGAAACTGGCTAACCTGTGTTTTTTGTGATTTTTTTTTTTTATATCTAAAGATTTAGTGTAAGATTTCTTGAGCCTAACCAGGCTCCTCGTTCACACAGCATGTCTATACCGTAATTAATAGAGGTCTCTCTCTCTCTCTAGGACCCGTATCACCTGCTGATTCCCCCCAAGCCTTGACGTCAGCGCTATAAGCGATAGAGATCGCCGGTGTTCTGGGAATCCATCCTACCTGACAAACCATCCTACCCGTTGTTTCTACGCATGCGCACAACACGAAATTCAGTGGCGAAGCATCCCACCTCTGTGAATATGAGCCAGAAGCATAATTTTACAGCTAGAATTCAGTGGCAATCATCTTACTTTTGTTAATAACAGCTACACACATACCATGCTACCTTTGTGAATGTGACCTACAAGCATACTTTAACGGCTAAAATGAAGTGGCAAACCGTCCTGGCTTTATAATTATGAGCTACAAGCATACTCTGATGGGCAAAGTTAAGTGGCAAACCGTCATACCTACTTACATTTGTGCTGGAATGACTCTGTGACAGCAGAAATGTGCTTAAACTACTTACGGTAGGACGTTTTGCCAAAGTAGGACGTTTTGTCAGAACCGGCACTCGGCGGCGGCTGTTCCCACAGGCGCAGCGTCTGGCTGCAGTAACAACACTGCTGGGACTTGCCCGACCGACTTTCGCATTCGACCTCCAAACAGCGTGAGGGACGGATACATCAAAACATTCATAGGACACCCACACCCACACACACCCTCCCCTTGTTTCGAGCCCTCTTCGCCTCTCCAGTCCCGCCATGGCGTCTGCTGTACCCGAGACGGAGGGGTCAGCGCGAAGCTCCCCACTGACACCGCTGAAGCTTGTCGGGGTGGTGTGCGTCTTCCTGGCGCTTTGCTTGGACATAGGAGCCGTGATGAGCCCGGCTTGGGTGACTGCCGACGACCAGTACTACCTGTCCTTGTGGGAGTCCTGCTGGAAGCCAGCGAGTAGCGAGAACTGGCAGTGCAGCAGCACGCTGGACTCAGGTAATGAATGGAAGGGGGTATCGATGTTGTTTGGGTTTATGAAAAAATAAATAAATAAAATCACCTGCTTCAGGTAAGATGTTAGAGCGTGGTTATCTTTTCTAATGTGCACTAACAGGAGCTTTGTGTAACAAAGAGCTGTTCGTAATAACAGCGAAAACTGATGCTGAAGCTGATCATAATAAAGGAGTTGTGGTGGAGAATACCCAGATCCTGTCGACTCTAATAGCCAGAGAAAGTTATCATCCTGGCTCGTACTCTGACTGCCCACTGCCATAAGAGAGCGTCCCCCTGACACAGCTCGCCAGTCTCTGTCTCTTCTGGGATCTCCAGATGAATTATTGTGAGGGTAAAGTGGATGTCTTATGTACGGTTAGAGCTCACTTCACAATGCGTTTGTAAATGCGGTAGCTTAAACGTGATAACTAAGATGTTGTTCAGCACACACGATAGCTGGCACCAACAAGTCAGGGAGCTGTATAAAATTACATTAGACTTAAAACCATAAAGATTAATGATCTGAAACTTACTCGACAACTATTTTTGATCATCTGAAAATAATATACTATTAAAATGCAAAACACCCACTAGCTTTTTATTCTTTACTGTAAGCATTTGTTTTCTTTGTCTGTTTTTTAGGCAATTAATTTTCGTGATTTCGAAAGTGCCACAGCTGTCACCTGCACTTATGGATTTTGCCACTTGTCAGTTCTAAATTAATTAATTCGTCAACAATATACAAAAAAGGAAGGTGTAGTGGAGGGGAGAAGTGCTGGCTCACAGCTAATGACTTCATCCTATCTCACTCTTTTAATTTTTATGCCCATTCTATAGTTGTTGGGAACGCGTCCTAGTTCTCAGGTCCAGGAGTATTGGTTGATCATCAATGTTGGATTTGTTTCCAGGGCAACAACAGTTCACACGCATTGTTTTAACTAAATTGAAAGTGGCTGTATTTACAGCCAGTGTGAAAGCAGGAGCTTACTGGGGTATTAAAAAATCTTCAAAATCTTCTGTCGCATAGATACGTCTACCTGGAACCAATCCAGAAGTCTACGCTGCTCTCTCTGTGGGTGGGATGAGATCACGAGTGTGTGTGTGTGTGTGATGGATTGTGTGTCTGTCTTTGTGTGACAAAAAATCTGTATGTCAGTGTTTAAATCAGTGTGTGTGTTTTGGGCCAATCAGAAGCTACCATGTTGAGATGACCTATTTCTGGACATTCTCCTCAGAAGCCCAGCTGAATATTTCATGTCACACTCTGATTTCTCTGTAGTTGCATCTCCATTCCATCTCTCCCTGGACCTGGGAACACACACATTCACTTAATGTTTGTGTGAGTGTCTCATCTTTTCTTCACACACACACACACACCTCTTCCCTCTCAGAGACCTAACCAGTTCTCCTTAATTAGATATCCATTGCGAAGGTTCTGTGTTGTATGAGTATCTTTCCACCACAAATATTGATCTTAAATATACATCACACCCTTTATGTGTCAGTTGCTCTTGCTTTCCCTTGCAGTTTCTCTTTTCTGCTCGTCGTTTACAATCACGTTTTCATTTCTTTTCATATTGAAGTAAATCTGAACTTATCATTGGGAAAATGCTTTCTTCGCCTCCTTTGTTCTTGAATATGTAGCTACAGTGGGCAGATTTGCAGCATACTCACTGAGTTGGATGTCGACATTTCACAAAGTTAGCTGAGTTGAATAGTATGATTAAATCTGCCTGATCTACTCAAAAAGAAAAACAGGTACAGCATCCAAATCACCTGCCAATGTATGTGTAGGTCCACCTCACCCACACGCAGTTCTGTAACCTGGATAAACCTCCTTGCTCTCCTCTGAAACTCAACCTGCATCACTGACATTCAACCATATCTCCTATTGGGCTCCATCTCCTTCATCGCAGCCTTCCCTTCTTTTGGTTGTACCCTTCTCAAGCTCCTTGTGGAGTCCCATCTAATCTGTCGATGCTGTCCACCAGCACCAGCAAAACCCACTTAAGGATCCCATCTCCTCAACACTGGCAGAGGAGATGGGACCCTCCTGTCTCCAGCTAAGCCCCCAGTGGGGCTACGTCTCTGCTGCTTGCATTTGTCCAGCCTCCCCAGTCAGTAAGCCCACCTTGTGGTTGTGTCTCCACTGCTGGTTTTCACCTTTGCTTCCCTTTTGCTGCCTCCCAGCCAAATGGGCCCCCTTTTCTCATGTTACGGGAAGTCTTCGCTGCCTCCATCAACAGTTACAAGAAGGACCTCTGGAGAGACCTCTGCTCCGCCTCCAGGTTCTCCCCAAAAACAGCTCAGTCTCCGCTGCTGGCCTCCTAGCCTGTGCTCAGAACTGGTGATATGTCTTTTATTTACATAAAATACTTTTAATTCAAACATTGATTTGGGTCCAGATTGAAATTTTCTCAAATTTGATGGATGTTTGACAATTATGACACATGGGTTGATACAGTTAGCTGTATCAATAATTGCAGTTGCAATTATAAGCATATCCCTTCTGTCATAGTTCCGTTTGGTCAGGATTCCCTTGTGTCTTAGTGCAATGCACTAAGTGACCCTTCAAGATAATTTCACAACCTGGAATATGGTCGTAAGCTCTTCAGCAGAACTCCCTCACTGTCTGAGAGAGAGAGAGTGCGAGAGCACATGAAACTGGAAAATGTAGGGGAAGCTCACTGCAAATTGGAAAAGTTTCCCATGTGATCAAGACATCATCAGAAGCACGTTCTGAAAAGTCAAAAACCAAAGTCTAAAAATGGCAGATGCTTTGAGGATTGCTACTGGGTCACATGTTGTCATGAACTTTATTGACTCAGAATTAGCTCTGCAGCTCTGTCTGAATCTGGACCCCTTACCTCATGCCCTGCGTGTCGCCGCCTTGTCAGGACAGTGTCTTCCCGACATTACGCACGTTTCCAAAACCTGGCACACTGTCAGAGATTTGTTTTTGTTTTCCGAGCCACTCAAACACCGCTAGTTTTGGGGCATCCCTGGCTTCAACAACACAACCCACATATCAATTGGCAGAAGGGATGCATCACTGGGTGGGCAGAGGAGTGCCACATGACTTACCTAAAAACTGCCCCCACTTCCAGCTGGGTGGCCTCTCCATCGGAGCCGCTAGCGTCTTCCGACTTAGCCAACATTCCCTCGGTTTATCATGACCTTGCTGAGGTTTTTCGCAAAGACCTTGCACAGTCACTCCCTCTGCACCATCCTTACGACTGTGCTATTGACCTGCTCCCCGGCGCTCCATTGCCAACCAGTCGTCTCTATAGCCTCTCCCTCCCTGAGTGAGAGGCTATGGAGAAATACATCTATGAAGCCAGATAACACACACCAATGAGTTAAACTGCAGGAATTTCTTAAAGACATAAACTTTCTGCTTCTTAATTCATATAAAACTGAGGTTATTGTGCTCGGCCCTGAAAATCATAGAAATATGGTATCCAGTTTTGATCTCCTCCATACCTGCTTCATGCCCTGGAGGACGGGGCTGTGGCCCCCCCACC